CTGGATGAATGAAGGAAGGAAGGGAAGCAGGGATCGTCATATCATGGTTTCTGACCATTCATTCATTCATTCTCTCTCTAAATACTAATTCAGCACCCAATAATATGTGGTATAGATATAGGACCTCTGACTATAACCAAGGACACCCTTTATTCAACTGTGCTGCCTAGCCTGTGTTAGGGGCGCCGTCTTCACAATGGTCCCTTGGAAAGCTGGGCATGCCTTTGGGAACTCCTAGTTTAGAATAAGATTCAATTTCTAAGCCAGGGAGAAAATCCATTTCAGCACTTTTCAATGATCTCTTTCTATACATTTTTAATATTTTATTTTATTTTTTAGAAAGATATGGTGATCTCCCTCCACTCCAATACACACACACGTCACCAGATAATGCCATCTGACTGTTAAAAACAAAATTATGTCAGCTCTCGGAGTCTTGAAAAACATGGACTCTGGCATCAGACACTTGAGTTTGAATCCTGAGCCCGCCTCACCTGGCTGTATAATCACAACCAAATGACTTAACCTTTTTAAGCCTTAATTTATTGTCTGTAAAAAAGATATGATACTCTGCCTTGTCGTATCTCTGTGAGGATTAGAGATGATGTACTTATGAGGTCTAATGTAGCACCCTGTACAGAGATACAGCTCAATAAATGATGACTTTGGGGTTTCTAACTCCCTAGAGAGGGGACTGTAGAATTTTACAAACATTTCGGACACCCTTGGCAGCCACGCCCAAATGTTCAGGCTCTACGCACATTGGATGGATAGCATCGGCATGTTAGCTAAACCACAGCCAAGTACAGAACGGCAGCGTCCCGTTTTCTTATCTTGCCTCAGAGAACCGCATAACTTAGAGGCCTCCTCATCTAGTGCCTCCACTGTCCCGAGTTGGGGGGACTGAGGCCCCCTAGAGGGAGAAGGAGGTCTCCTAATCAGCCCAGTGCGTTCGTGGCAGCTGGTACCAGAGGCAGCCAGCAGAGCCGACTGAAATCTTCAGGTCCCAAGATTGTCACGAGATCTGGACGCAAAGCTCAGGCATCCCCAGGCCCCCGAGGGCAGGGGTTGCCACCCCCCCCCCATTACTCCAGCTTTACTTTGTTCAGCAAAGCACGGGCAGTGGACAGGGCTGCTGGCAGAAGGTGCCAACAGGGCAGAGCTGATGCTTTGCACGCAGCCTTCTCCTTTCCTCGTCTTGAAGCCGCCCGGACTCGTTTCCAAGCACAAGCCTCACATCTAGGTAGTCACTTTACCCTCTCGACAACCTCCCACGGGTAGCAGCTTCTCACGTCCTCACAACACCAGCTCAGTTGTGAAAGGCTGGTCACTACTGCCCAATTCGATTGCTAGTTAAGAACACCAGAGTTACATACAAGTCATTGGTTTTAGAGCCAGAGCTGGGACTGAAACCTAGAAGCTAGTCTCCCATCTCTCAGCCCACTACGCTGAGCTGTCTGTAACACATCACGGAAATCTTCAGAGGACCTGCCTTTACCATCCCTGCTCCAGCCACATAGCCAAAGGAAATAATTTCTCTAGAAGTATAAATTCTCCAAGAAGTAACATTTTAAGCCTTTAAGCTCTAAAGGAAAGAAGAAAACAGAAGAAAGGACTGAAGGAAGAATTGCAGGACACGAACTACCTACATGGAGGAAGTCTAGAGAATGCGCATGGGGCAGCAGGAGGAGTGCATCCTTCCTTTAGAGTCAGGCAGACCGGCTCTGTTCCATACTAGCCACGTGACCTTGGGCAAGTCATCCAGCCTTTCTGAGTGCCCACCTTAGAAAGTTCCAGGGTTGTGAGACTCCAACAAGATGAAAAAGCGTGCAGAGCCTCCTGCAGGGTGCCTGGCACACGGAGTTGATTATAATCGTCCCATGGAATGTCAGGGCTGGAGTGGCTTGAATGATGACCTAATCCTGATGTCTCATTTCACAGGTGGGAAAAACAAGGTCCAGAGAGGTGACGTGACTTGCTCAAGGACACAGAGCAAACTCATGGTGATGTTGGGTCTAGTACCCTCAGTTCATATTAAAATCAGAGACCACGGCCAAGACACTGGAGCTTTCAAGCTGTGCGATGATGGAAGAAACTTTTTCAGTCATTCCTCTAGCCCACGTAGCTTTCTTTCTCCATTTAGCAAGGGAAAATGTGGTATTTCTGACCAGAAGAAAATATAAAATTTTGAGAAATACTCAAGTTAAAACTAAAATCCGGCTTCCCTGGTGGCGCAGTGGTTACAGAGTCTGCCGGCCGGTGCAGGGTATGCGGGTTCGAGCCCTGGTCCAGGAGGATCCCACTTGCCGCGGAGCAACTAGGCCCGTGTGCCACAACTACCGAGTCTGCGCTCTAGAGCCTGCGAGCTGCAACTACTGAGCCCGTGTGCCACAACTACTGAAGCCTGCGCACCTAGAGCCCGCGCTCTGCAACAAGAGAAGCCACTGCAATGAGAAGCCTGTGCTCCGCAACGAAGAGTAGCCCCCGCTTGCCGCAACTACAGAAAGCCCGCGCACAGCAACAAAGACCCAACGCAGCCAAAAATAAATAAATAAAATAAATAAATTTATTAAAAAACACACACACACACTAAAATTCCAGTCTTAACAAACAGGCACTCTCTTTTAAGGCCTTTTTTCCATCCTTCCTCTCTCATTGCTCCCCCCTCCCCAAATATTTTGCAATAACAGTAATGCTGGGAGGAAAGAAAAAATAAAAATCTGATGCACTTAACAGATATTTCAGTACAATAATGCATCACAGATGTTCATATCAAACTGTGCATGCGTGCATACAATTTTACTGAGAAGGCTGTTGCATTTCTGACTTTGGGGTTGGGGATCCCTAACAACCCCAACTGCCCAGGCTCTGGAATCCCTCCCTTCACAGTTAGCCCACGGCTGCCCACGGGGATGGAGGAGAGATTTCATCACCTCGCTCCAAAATGATAACAGGACAAATTGGCGGGGTCAGGCACTCTGGCAGGTGGTGAAGGGTGTGCAGATTAGGGAACCGAGAGGAGTCCTGTTTTCTTTTGTTCACGACTTGCTTCCTACAGCCCTCTCGAGGAGCTGGACCCAAGAACAATTTTAAGAGTGGGCCCGGGCTGGTGATGGGTGGGTGCATTTTTGAAACCAGAGGTTTGAGTCTGTTTGATCTTCAAATGTGGGCTTTGGAGACTGTCAGCGGGCTCCTCGCTGGCCGATGAATGGCTCTCAGGAACTTTTCCTAAAACATAATCTCACGCACTTTCCTGCAAATGTTTTCAACCTACCAAAGCCGTCCTTTGGTTGAACAGCAGTGTTTCCAGACCTCAAAGAAAGATAGTTTTGTTGTTTTAAGAGAGACAGATTAAAGCCAGGGGCTATTTAACCAGAGGGTCTGTGTGCTCCCTTCGTCTCTGGTCGGATTCCTCTGTGGTTGGTACAAAGAGGGTGTTGAGAGTGACAGTGGATCCCCCCACCTCCCCAGCCTAAAAAAGATATCAAGGCCAGACGTGAGGCCTCTGAACAGAGAGGCCTCCTACAAACCTGCCTCCAAAATGAGATGGGCGGCGAGCGCTGGGGAGCCCAACGCAGATAATATCAGCTCCCGAGGCTGGCAAGGGAAAAGTCACTTCAGAGGGAGAAAGCCGGTACGTTCAGAGGAATCAGCGCTGGGCCAGAGAATGCACAGGATTTTTCCCCGCGGAGAAGGAGTCAGGCGTAGTCAGAACCCTGCGGGGCGTGACTAACTGCCCCAATATTCCTGCCACCGGGGCCCTCTGGGTAAGGGCTCCACAATTATGGGAGAGCCAGCAGGAGAACTGACAAACCCGCCTTTCATTTGGCCGGCAAATCAATCTGGCTTCTTACCTCCCCGGGGACAATATTGCATTTCCCCTGGAAAAACAAAAGCCAGAGATCTCCGAAGGGGGATCAGTTTCTGCCCCTGTTTCCCTGGTGAAGAGCTTGCAACATCTCAGGGGCAGCCAAGCAGGTCTGGTTCCAGTGGTAGAGTTTCTAGTCTGGCCAATTTATGGGGCTGTCTCCTTACGGGAGGAGTATGTCTTGGGGACCACACCACGCTTGGGGCATGGGCCCGGTCTCCTTGCAGGAGCCACCAGCCCTGACTCAGGGACTGACAGTTCGTTCTCAAGGCGCAGATGTGAACTCATTGTTCCCTGGGCCTCAGAGTTGAGTTTGGGGCCAGTGAGTTGTGAGTGACCTCTGACCATGGAAACGGGGCTTTTCATGACATTTTGCTGGATCAGGTCTCTGGCAGCCAGAGACTTTAAACCTCCTAAGCTCCGCCCTTCTCCCTGCCCCTACACCTGAGGTTCAGAAATCAGAACTGTCAACCTTTAAGTGAACACATTTCTCTGAAATTATTAACCCCAAAACTATCCTTGCTGACTTTCTCCCAGCCTAGGGGAGGCAGTCCGAGGGTCACCTGGAGCTTTGCAGAGGCCCCGGGAAATCTGGCAGCGCTTAACAGCAAGCCAGGGTCCCTAGAGACCAGGCCCATCGCACTTCTCCTGCCCCCCGACCCCAACGCCACCCCAAGAAGCCCGTCTCCCTCTATTCGTCCTCTGTACATACACACAGCTGCCTGGATGCACCAATACAACAGCCTCAAGACAGTCCCCTGCTCTCGAGACCCCAGGGTCTCAGGGAAAGTCAGGCCCAAACTGCAAACTCTTTCTTTTTGTTTTTCATCACTGGGATGCTCCGAGGGAAATTCTTTCTGCTCGGGCGAGCACAGCAGGTGGGGAGTGTGTATCCCCAACAGGTAGCACCACTGAGATAGAAGAAAACACACAAACTCTTACCCCCAATTCCAGCACATGCCAGTTTGCCCTCATACCACCACAAAGGCAGCTCAAGAGCTGCCCCACAGCCCAAAAGACCCTCTCCCTTTCAGGGAAGGGCAGGGTTCTGCCTGCCGAGGGAACACCATCAGAGAAGAGGACCAAGGCGCACGGGGGCTGCAGGGCTCTGGGGCGGGCGCTGCGCGCTTACCTGGGAGAAGTTGAGCCCATTGAGCGGATGACACTGCTCCTCCACGCGCTCCACGGCCCCAGTGCTTTTCTTCATCTTCTCGGCCCGCTGGGCCAGGTAGAGGTCAAGCACAGGCACGCCCCGGGAACGCACGTCGGTCTCTGTGAGCGAGTTCACCATGAGCATCACCCACACCGGCCTCTTGCGCTCCCAGTTGCCCGCGATGGCGTTGAATAGATAGTCGGCGTAGAGCCCCTTGCCCCGCTGCGCGGGCGTCATCCACGACGGCATCATCAGCTTCACGTAGTCCAGGTGGCGCTTCAGGCGCCAGTAGAGCTCACGGGGCAGCACGTCCTGCAGGTTCTCCCCGTGCGGCAGCAGCTGGCAGCTGGCCAGCGCCGAGATGGTGTAGGGGTCTGTCAGGTCCAGCTCAAAGTAGACGCGGGCGCTGGCCTGGAAGGCCGCCTTGGAGTTGTCCGGGATGAAGTCCCAGACGCGGGTGTAGGGGACGTGGATGGTGCCAAACAGGTAGGCCGGGGGGTCGCGCCGAATAGTCCACAGGAAGGAGTTCAGGTCCCTCTGCTGCAGGGGGACAGGTAAAGGAAGGCAGTGAGGCTGAAGGCAGCAGAATTAAGCCAAGGTCAGAACAGAGCGGGCAGGTGGAGCTGGGGATGGAAGGCAGAGAGCTACGTGGGGCCATGGGAAGAAGCAAGGGCTTTGGAAGCTGAAAGACCCGTATCTTAGCTGTATGATCTTAAGCACACTGTTTCACTTCTCACAGACTCAGTTTCCCCATCTGTAAAATGGGAGCTGAAAGCAGCCACCACAGGGATTGTTGGGAGAATGAAAAGACACAATCTATGTAAATAAGCCCGAAGAACGGTGCCAGGCACACAGGGTGGAGGCAGTGAAGGAAGCTCTCATTATGACTGGCTCTCACTGTGAGTGCCAAGGACTGCCACACCACCTGAGAATATTCGTGCTTGGCCAAGCCAAACCTTCACCGGTGGTGTTTCATGGGGAGGGTGGAAAGAGGAGGACCACGAGTCCTGCTCTGGCAAGAAAGGAGGAAATCATATAACTTTTAAATCCAACCATTAGAAGATACATGCCAAGAGCACTTTGAAAGCAGAACACCTATTAAAAATAGCACACCTATTTAAACAGCTACTCCCCATTCAGCAGGGCGGATACAATTTTCTTTTTGGAGGGCAGGTCTGGGGTGTCAGCTACTCTGCTCCACCAGCTGAAACCACAGAGGAGAGAGTGCTTTAAAACCTGCAGGCTAAATAAAGTCTCAAGGCCCTGATTTGGGAGGGAAAGATTTCACAGAATTAGTCCCACGAAATGTACATGCTTTCTGGGCTCCTCCCCTCCCAAGGTGTACCTGGTCTCCAAGTCCAATTCTCTGCCATCACCTAAGCTCTGAAGAGTGATGTGTGTGTCTGTGTAGAGGTGAAGGAGGGGCAGGAAGACATGGGTCATTTCTCCAGATCCAGTTTAGGTCCAGGGGTTAAGGGGCATGAGAAAGGGACTATCATTTCTCTCAGGCGTTTTCTATCCGGAATACCCCCTGGACTGTCCACTGCCATCCACCGTCTGCAAGCTTTCGGTCAACTCATAAAATTCTTCTGCTTGACTCTAGCACAAATGAGAAGTATCTGTCAGGGTGGGCAAAGGGATCAGAACCTTACTTTACTGACAACCGAAAACGGTAAATCCCAGCACACTGGAGAGAGACTAGCTCTGAGCACCCTGCCTGTCGCGGAGCTCCCTGTTTCTGAACAAGTCACGACACGGGAGGTGCACCTTGCCCAAGGTCAGCTAAGAGCGCAGCCAGTGAGGACCCTACACAAACCTTTCCTGGTCCCTGGCCTCCAATTCAGAGTTACTTTCCAGGCGCTAATTTACACTTTGAGGGAGAGAGACTGAGGGAAATCAAGGGATTCCTGAGTTTGGAAGAAAAATGAAGAGAACTAGTAATTACTCAACCCCCAAGGAAATATTAGGCCAGCATGTCCTGGCACTTTCTTTCCTCTCCTCTGGAATCTTCCTCCTTTTTGTGAAATCGGGGCACTTGGGAGAGTGGGTGCTGGGGCCTGGGCTGGAGAGGGAGAAAGTTTGCCTTAGGTCAAGGGTGGGGACCAGGGGGGAGAGGGAAGCCTGCAAGGGATCTGAGCGTGTAAGAATGAGAGGAAGGGGTAGAGAAGAGAAGGGCAAGGAATGGTAGAAACAGAGTCAGAAATAAGAAGAGAGGAACCAGAGGGTAAGGACGGGCTAAAAGTAAGAAAGAGGGGAGTCAAAAAGGGCACAGAGAGGAAAGGTCCAAGCAGGACCGAAAGTCGAGGAGAGCCCTAGAGCGTCAGCGTTTGGAGAAGGAGCTGGAGAGGGAGCGCCCCAACTCGCCTCCCCGGACGGAGCTGGAGCCCCGGCGGCAGAAGCCAGGGAAGGGCGCCCGAGGCTGCGCCCGGCGGGCGGAGGTGGAGCGGGTGGGCCGAGGTGGGTGCAGAAGGTAGGACCCCCCAAACCATCGTCCCCGCAGGGCTGGAGTGGCCGGCCGGGAGAGTGGCCGGGCGGGCGCTCGCTCACCGATCCGGGCGGCCGGCACTGTCCTGCGTCCGGGGGCTGCGGGCGGGCGCGGGCGGTGGCGAGGAGGGCGGCGAGCAACGGCCCCGCCAGGGCGGCGTGCATCCTGCCGGGGCCCGCGGGGCGCGGGGGACCCTTCTGGGCGGCGCCCCTCAGCTGGGCCGGCAGCCCCCGGCTGGGCACGGAGGTTCCTCTGGAGCGCAGGGCTCCAGACACGGGATGCCGGGAGCCCTCTGGGGCGTGGCTGGATGCCCCTGCCGGACCTGGGGGTCCCTCTGGGGCGGGGCTCCGTCTGTTCCAAGAGGGGGATCCTCTGGGGCGGGGCCCTTTGGCCGGGACGCGCAGCCGGGTTGGCCGAGCCCCGGGGCTGTGAGAGCGCGCGGGGTTGCCGAGGCGCGCGGAGGTCCCGGAGCTGCGTCGCGGTCCAGGGGCGCGCGGGGTTCTCGGGGTAGTACCGGGACGGCGGGCGCGCGGGGTCGCGGGGTTATGCTGGGGACCCGGGGCGCGCAACGGTCCCAGGGGTGCGCGGCGCTCCAGGGGGCGCGCGGGGGGACAAGTGCGGCGGCGGGCGCGGCGGGGGCGGCGGGAAGGTGCAGCTCCGTGGCCTGCGGGCGAGCGGCCGGATTTGACTGCACAGGTAGCACAGGAGTCGGCCAGGGGGATGTTTGCTCCCTTGGGGTCCAGGGGAACGGCTGTTGTGACCAAGTCCCTGTGGAATTCAGAGCTGGTAGAATTGTTCATAAGCCTGCATTGCTCCAAGCTCTAGGCAGGGGTGAGAGCTGAACACAGACCCCACAAAGGGCTTCGTGCTACCCTTTGTGTGAAGACCAGTCTCCACGGAGATTTATGGAAAAGCCTACACACAACCCATGACAGGCCCCAGAGAGGGGGCAGTTGGCCTGGGGGGGTGACCCTCTACCCTAATTTTCTCACCGGGGTCTGATGGGCATGGCAGGCGCTCGCTCGCTCCTCTCCTGCTCCCTAGCTCGCTCCCTCACACGCGGGCGGAGGGAGGCGAAGCCCGCAGCAGCCACTTCCCAACTTTCCAAACTTCCCAGCGCAACTTTTTCCTCTCCTCCCCTGCCCGCGCCTCCTCCTCCCCCTTCCCCTTCCCCTCTCCAGCTCTCCGCCGGGCCGCAGCTTCAGCGCGCGGCCGCCAGAGGGCGACCGGGCCGAGGCCCGAAGGGCCAACTTCAATCCGGCTGCGCGTTGGACGCGGACTGGCACCGCAGCGACAAATGTGGGGAGATGGACCAGACAGGTCCTGGAGGACTGAACAGCGAGAGAGGAGAAAGGCAGGCGTGGACAAGCGCTCCCAGACTGGCTGGAAGGCAGCACTCAAAAGAAACCCAGGGAAGCTGGTATTTACAACTTTTTATCAAGTCCCTGTTCCCAACGCCGGCATGCGGTTTAATAGGTGTTCTGCAGACACTAGGTGCATTAAAACAAAACAACAAAATAATCTTCCTCAGAATTCCTTGAGACTTACCATTTGAATAATCTATTTCTTTGGACCACACAGGATCCTGGTGAGGGGTCCTGGAAGGGTAAGGATTCATATCCCAGTTCCTTAGACCATAAGAATTGAAAGAGCCCTTAAAACCAGCTTCCTTCTGTTCTGGAGAAGCAAATGAAACTTACAGAAGACCAAGAGGCAAGATCCAAGCTTCTGGACCGTTTCCAGCCAATGGGGAAACTGAGTCATGGGCACCACCGCTTACTTGTGTTGAGAAGAGTTCACTGACTCTTCCTATACTGATGATAGAGACTGAAGGATGAACGAGGTAGGACTGTTAGAGCCCACAGCCCACAGAGGGGGGTAGATGGGCACAAACATGCAAAGAGGTGATTCAAATATAGACGATGAGTGCCAGGAGAGACGGAAGCACAGAGAAATGGGAACAGAGAGGAAAGTCTCCTCACACAGCCCCGGGGCCCAGGGAAGACTCCCAGGAGTGATCCTGAAGGATAAGTCAGGGGCAGCTGAGTAATGGAGCAGCTGCCGGGGCGGAGAGGTGGGAGAGTGCGGGTGCCTGCAGGGTTCTGCTAGCAGTTAGGCATGGCTGGAGCAAAAACCCAGCAGCAGGAGCTGAAGTTGTGTCTTCTGGCCAGGCTGGAGTGCTTGTACTTTATAGGTACTAGGTGATGGGGAATCATTGCAAGATTTGAAGTAGAGGGTGGCTGGAGCCTTTTAGGAGCCCTGGATTGGAGGGGGCAAGCTGGAAGCAAAAGAGACCAGTGGGGAGATGGGCGGTCAGTGGAGAGGTCCCGGACTCCCAGCTCTCCCAGTCCTCCCACTCAAGTCTTCAGGCAGCAGATGGAGCAACTGGAGAATGGCCACTGGAGAAGCTGGGCAAGGATGACCAGCTGGGCTGCAGGGGCTGAAAGGCTTCCAGAGCCTGCAACCTGGGTCTTTGAGGGGAAAACGGAAGGAAAGGAGAGGTTACCAGAGACTTTCAGGCTGACCCACCTGAGATTGCCATTTCTGCAGGTCAGAAATAATGACTGTGGGCAGTTTCATCTGGTTCCACCTGCTGGGTGTCCGCGCCACCTCGACTCTTTGCTATGCACACTTCTGGTGACAGATGCAGATCAGGCCAGAGGGCCCAGATGGTGCAAGAGAACAGTGCGGCTCCGTGCTTCCAACACACAGCGCTCTGAGAACTGCAGCTGTGACAAAAGAGAAGTCCTTTAAAAAGCCTCCACTCCTCAAGGCTCCAAAACTCCCTACAGAGCCACCACTCCCCATGATGAGGACGAGGTGAAACGCTTGGGAGGTGGGAGGAGAATTTAATTCCACTGAGAGGGAGTGTAATGGTCTTCACGGGGAACTAGAACATAAGGGAGACAGTGGGTAAGAAAGGACCTGATCAAATTAAAAACTAATCCATATAATTAAAATGATAGTGCACGTGACTATGTGTATGATTTTTAAAATGTTCCAGGCCTTTTTTCCTGAAGTTATAAATGTTTCATCGACTAATTTTCACAAATGCCAGCTATGACTTCCTCCTCCGTGGTCCTTTCCTATGGCTGTGTGACCAGTGTCCAAACAGTTAACCTCTCTGTGCCTCTCTTGCTTCACCCAGCTTCCTGTCCTCACTATTTTTCTGAGTCAATGTGTGCAATAATCCTTTAGAATCTCCACCGGTATGGTTACTGATATTGTTAATGAGATGCAAGAACAAACAGGTTTTTCCACTCGTGGGTACATAATACCCAAGAGAACTGAAAGCATCCGTCCACACAAAACCTTGTACACAAATGTTGATAGCAGCACTATTCAAAATAGCTAAAGGGGAGAGCCAACCCAAATGTCCAGCAACTGATGAATGGATATATAAAATGTGGTATATTCATATGATGGAATACTATTTGGCCATAAAAAATAATGAAGTGCTGATACATGCCACAATATGGCTCAATCTTGAAAAGATTATGCTAAATAAAAGAAGCCAGTTACAAAAGGACGTATATAATATGATTCCATTTATATGAAATGTCCAGAATAGGCAAACGTATAGAGGCAGACAGGCGATCAGTGGTTGCTTAGGGCCAGGAGGAATGGAGAGATTGGGGGACCATGGCTAAAGGGGATTGCATTTTTTGGGGTAATAATGAAAATATTCTAAAATTGATTGTGGTGATGGTTGCACAACTCTGTGAATATACTAAAAAAACATTAAATGGTATAGTTTAAATGGATAAATTGTATGGTATGTGAATTATATTTCCATAAAGTTGTTACCCCCAAAAAAGAACAAACATGTTTGAGGCCCCTGGAGAGGGTGCTCCCCAAGAACAAGGGTTTCCGTGTTTTCAAAGAATTTTTTCTCCCACCTAGTATTATATCAAGAGCAGCCCCTGACGAGCAGTCAAAGTCCTAGAGATTACCCGTGCTTCTGCTAACATCTTCCTGAGCGGCTTCTGGTAGTTCAGCTGTCCTGGCTGGACCTCAGTTGCCCTGTCATCAGATGAACAGCTCAGGGAGCCGATACCCTTAAGGTCTTCTGCCCTCAACACTACAGTCCAGAGTTCCATGGCCTCCGCCTGCCCAGGGGCCTGTAGGCAGGATGGGAAGGGGCACAGGGCTCAGGAGGCAGGCGGTGGACTCAGACGCCTGTCTCCTCTCCCGGATCACATCCGGCCCACTTTCCTTTTACTGCATTTTAATTAAGTTGTTCAATCAGACGGGTACCAGGAATCTGTAGGCCGTAACAGCCGGGACAGGAACAGAAGCCTTGTTGCGGAACTAAACCAACAAAGTCTGCCTCTTGGGCAGATCCAGGAGCCCTGGTCCTGCCGAAGGGCATCTCTCAGGCAGGGAGATGAGGGGCTCCCCTGCTATGCTGGACCAAAGGAGAAGCTTTGCTCTGGGCCTGAAGGCTGCCTTCTCGACTGGCCATAGCCTGAGCTATGGGCCACCCTGGTATTTTCCAGTGGACCTGGCCTGGCCTGACTCCCAGCTTCAACTCCTGTCCCAGATGTGCCGACCTCCCACCCAACCCCAGGCTCTGTCTTCCCCCGGCTCCCCCCGATCTTAGTGGGTTAGAAGTTAATCCTTGATGGTTGAAGGTCATGATGTCCTTGGGGGGTGGGAAAGATGGGAATAGGATTCTAGGACCATGCAGTAGTACTTAACACAGTCTAGAGTGATGGAGAGAACCAGAAAACAAGGCATATGCTGCGATGATTCCGAAAAGGACATTCCCTTACAAGAGTGGGGAAACACACACGCCATCACAGAAGTCCAACAGAGGATTAGGCTTGCCATACAAGACGGTATTTGTTAAAAACAGAAAGTTCTACTAGATCCAGCCCAATGGGGGAGGAGGACACAGAGGAATCAGCCCAGGAGTCTGACCTCAGGGAGCTTGCCACCCAGAGACAGAGGTACCCACAAACAGGGTGCTTTGGGAAACAGATGGGGGGTGGGGGAGAGCAGTAACCTTAGGAGAGAAGAAAGTGGGGCTTAGGAGAGAGAAGGTCAGCAAAGGTCTTTGCCAAGAAGGTGACGTTTGAGTTGGTGTCTAAGGATGAGCAGGACTTGGACAGGGAGTGTGAGGAAAGGAAGGTCACTTCAGACAGTGGGAACAGTGTGTGCA